GCCTCCTGCACATCTCCTACTGGGGATGTGCCCGCAACCCAGGTACATGCCCTTGACCGGAATCGAACCTGGGACCTTTCAGTCTGCAGGCCGACACTCTATCCACTGAGCCAAACTGGTTTCGGCAGAATGGTCATTTTTTACTAAATCTTGTTATGAATGCTATTTCATTAGTTTTTTCTTACATGAATATCATCATTGTAGGTGGAAAACACACACGGTACACTTTGCACTTTTGTTATGATTCAGTATCTGTAATTGTGAGACATAAACTATGAGATATTCACCACCTAGAAATGCATGAAGGAGCAGTTACAAGCAGCAACAGACCAGTTAGACCACATGCTCATTAAGTCATCAAATAAATTAATATATATATATATATTATATATGTTTTTCTTCATTTTTAGAGAGAGAAGGGAAAGGAATAGAGAAACATCACAGATCGGCTGCCTCCTGCATGCCCCCTACTAAGGATCGAGCCCACCACCTGGGCATATGCCTACCTGTAAATTGAATCAGCAACCTCTCTTGGTTCCTGGGTGGATTGACACTCAACCTCTGAGCCACACCAGCCAGGCATTAAAGTACCTTTTTTTAAATGAGAATTTGGAGGGCCTCTCAGCCCTCTTCTGAAGTGTTTGAACATATAAATTGTGGGGGATTAGTCCTGTGACCAACATAGCAGGAAAAATCACCTTTCCCAGTCATGCTTAGTTTATACAATAATATTAAATTTCAAGTCTTCCTTTTTCTTTGAAAATAAGATATAATTTTTGTTTTTATAGCTATTTAACCATTCAACATACTGATTTGAGGGTGAAAGTCCTTTCAGTAATAGATTACCTCCAAATATGTATTGTAGTTAGCAAATGTAAAATGGCACATAAATACTAAATTAGCCATCATCAATTTAAGTAACATACTGAAGTAAACTAATTAGTACAGTAGTCACAGCTAACAAATCAGGGAATAAAATTAATTTCTAATTTAGAATTGGAAAGTAACATTTTTTATAAATCTTAGATTTCAAAAAGCAGCTTCGAAGGTTTGCTTAGAGTTTTTAAAAGACAAGCTCTCATCCTGGCTGGTGCAGTGGTTAGAACGTCCTCCCATGCACTGAAGGGTCACAGGTTTGATTCCTGGTCAGGGCACATACCCAGGTTGCAGGTTTCATTCCCCAGTCTGTGCTAATTACATCAAACAAGTCTGTCTATTCTTAGGAGCATTTAACTGTTTTCTGACTTTATAGTATACTAGAGGCCTGGTGCACGAAATTCATACATGGGTAGGGTCCCTAGGCCTGGCCAGCCATCAGGGCTGATTAGGGCCTTCCCCGGCTGCCACCTTTTGTTCCACACCGCCCCCTGGTGGTCAACACACATCATGGTGAGTGATCAAACGTGAGTGATCAAACTCCTGGGAACAATTTGCATATTAGCCTTTTATCTACACTAATAAAAGAGAAACATGCAAATTGGGGTCCCTCCGCTATGCCCACCAGCCAATCAGGGTGAGTATGCAAATTAACCAAACAAAGATGGTGGTTAATTTGCATATGCAGGTGCAGAGCGAAGACTGAAGACGACTGAAGATTACTGAAGACTGAAGAGGCTTGGCTGCAGCGGAGAAGCCAAGCCTCACTGCTGTGGCCGGACCAAAGGCCTGGGTCCCGGGTGCCAGAGGAAAACCGGTGCTGACAGCCAGGGGAAGGAAGACCTATTGCACGAATCTTCATGCAACAAGCCTCTAGTATATATATAGATTAGTACAGTATTTGATTTTAAACACTTCGAATCTTCGTGCAACAAGATATATATAGATTAGTACAGTATTTGATTTTAAACACTTGCTTTCTCATACTACTATTTATAAAAGATTAGTGTCCCAGTGCACAGATTCATGCACATTGAAAGGCTAAGTGTCCATCTGTCCGACTGGTAACTATGACGTGCACTGACCACCAGGGGACAGATGCTCAACGCAGGAGCTGCCATGATGTGCACTGGCCATCCTATATAAGCCTAATATACTAAGTGTCTGAATTAGAAAAAACATTTTAGTATCGCTATTCACGTATTGCTAATGAAAAGAAAATAGGATTCTACTGAGTCTCCTATCTACCAACTCTAGAACTTCTGTGAGGATCAAATGAGATGAGGCACGGGAAAATGCTTTACAAACATTTGGTTAAACTGTAAAATGTTTGCACCTGACTATAAAGCAAGTTGGGTTCCTCAGCTGAAGAGGATGCTAGTCGCTAGGGAGAGGAAGACGTACTATGTGACATCATTACCCAGTGCACACAGCCACCATTTCCAGGTTGGGCTGGGCTGTGGGCCGCATTTTGCGCCATGGGGTCTTGGCAGCGTTGGCTGTGATTTGGTGGGGTGTCGCTCCTGGGGTGATGGCAGGGCCTGTGTCCCACTTGGGGGAAGCCAAGTATTGGTTCGTCAGTGCTAGGTCCGTGGTGTTTATTTTTAAACTATAGGTCCGGTGCATGGATTCATGCACATTGAAAGGAAATTAATTAGAAATATTTTAGAGGCCAGGGAGGGACCATAGGAGGTTGGCTCCAGTGCATGTCTGGCCATCTCGCCCAGTCCCAATCAACCGGACCCCAGCAACAAGCTAACCTACTGGTCAGAGCGTCTGCCCCCTGATGGCCAGTGCGCATCATAGTGACTGGTCGAACAGTCAGACACGTAGTATATTAGGCTTTTATTATATAGGATGGCCAGTGCACATCATGGCAGCTCCTGCGTTGAGCATCTGCCCCCTCATAGCTACCAGTTGGACAGACAGACACTTAGCCTTTTATATATATAAAAATTGAAAAGTAAAGAAGTGTTGACAATTCCACAATTCACACTATGTTTTAATGTAAGGATTATAAAATGCATATAATAAAAAATACAGATGGTATAAGGTGATATAAGATAAATTAAAAACTTCCTCCCCACCCTCCAATCTTCCAGTGTCACAACTATAAATACAATAGTTTCTTTAAAATACTGAAATTTTAAAAAAGGACACATATGTAATACCCTTTGTAATAAAGCAATACAAAAAAAAAAAATACTGAAATTTAACATTCTAACAAGCCATAAGGCTTTGTTTCTTCTCCATTGGTTTGTTTTACATAGTGTAGAGATACATTAAAATATTAAGCCTCACTACTGTTACAGAAAAGGACTGAAAATCTTAATTTTATAATAAAATATAGTTAACACTAGATTGCCAAAAGCCCATTTTCTTCACATTTACTATTCTCATTAACCCTGAAATTTAACATTCTAACAAGCCATAAGGCTTTGTTTCTTCTCCATTGGTTTGTTTTACATAGTGTAGAGATACATTAAAATATTAAGCCTCACTACTGTTACAGAAAAGGACTGAAAATCTTAATTTTATAATAAAATATAGTTAACACTAGATTGCCAAAAGCCCATTTTCTTCACATTTACTATTCTCATTAATTCCTCATCACACACACACATCCAACCCCTATTGATCACCAAAATTTTATAGTCTTATCTTGCAAGTGTAGCATATATATAATTAAACAGTTGATAAACATATAAAGATTGAGCACAAAGAAGGCCCACAGGGTACTGCTGTGCAATGTATCTACCAACAGGTTGATTAGGCCAGTTGTTATATTTGACAGCAAGAAAAAAATCAACTGGTTTCTGTTTATAGCTGTGATTAAACAAAGACTGGGTTTCTTTCTTTCAGCTTCAGAGACTAGAGATTCTGAATGCTTTTTATTTGTAGCAGGAGACTGGATAAGTTTCCAAGAACAGGGTACTAGAGCCCCTTGAATTAGAAATTTGGCAAAACTCAAAATTATATCACCCAGTAATAAACTACTAAGAAGGATCAAGCTAGAAGCAACTATCCAAATACAAAAGGCTAAATTGGCCATTCTTCTAGATGCTGCTTCTACATTTACCTGAACTATGTAAAGAGATACAAAGAGGCTAATAGCTAACAGTAGAATACAATATGCTACTTTTATCCAGTCTTTGATATGTGATCTTTTTTTAAGCACATATGACCCTGTTTGCACACCAGCCATGTGTACTGTCACACCCCAAGGTAGACATTATTCACTCTCGGTTGGCATTTAATAAACCAACCCTTGTGCCACTGCCATCAGTGCCATACAAAATTAACCTTTTCAATGGGGTCAAGTCAAGGGCTAGCTGGTATAATACAGTGATGCCAATGGCCACAATCCAGGATTTATGAGGGGGGAAAAAGATCAAAAGCAGTGATGTTACCAATTTCACAACTATTAAGGTAAAGAAAAAGTTCCAATGAACTCCATACTCAGTTAAATGTTCCTGATAGCCTATGGATTTTATAACGATTAATCTTCCTACTCCTAGGAAGACTAATGGCCAAACAGAGTACAATGACTTTGTAAAATGATCAAATCTGGACCCTTCTGTACATTTTCTCCTAATCTCTGGACAAACCATTGCAGTTCCAAAAACAAAGCCTCCTACTCCAAAATCCATTGCTCCTGTCCCATAGAGCTCAGTTTTGGCTAATCTTCTGGGGAAAAGTGGGAAGTCCACAGCCAAAATGGCAACAGCAGTAAAGGCACTGTTAATTACACGGAAACAGGAGATGGCTGGAATGTATTCTGATTCTAGACTAATTTTTAAGAATTTTTCAAGTATTTTCTGGACAGGCATTCTGGCATAGCAAGTTCTCCGGCAGTATATTTGATAGAATAGCCCTGCCCCAAAGATAATTACAGTGAGGTGCTCAAGGTATACAAAGGAAGACAAAATGGTCAAAGTGGTCACCATGGGAACTATTAGGAAAACAAAGTCAATGAAGAATCGAGTTCTCCGGGTATGTGAAGACCACAAGTGCTGTGAGAGAATGATCAGGAGCCCTCTGCACAGGATGCAGAGCACAGGCAAGCACAAGCCCTGGGTAATTTCCAGCACGCTGGTTCCATTGTGGTTACTAACAAAAGCTTCCTTCATCTGCTTTTGAGACATTTTTTCTTCTTCCTGTTTTCACAAAGAGCAAAGGAATGCATTTGTGGAAAGCAGTGTTCTTGTGCAATTGGCATATATATGTACCTGACTTACTTTTATCTTAAATTTCAGAGTAGAACCTAGGTCTGTCTTGTGACCTCCTCTTCGAAGGATTGTGGGAAGAAGCCTAACACTAATACATGAGGATACGAATGTTACACTAATAGCATGAAATTATTGGTTAAAAAGCTTTAGCTATTTTCAGTATAAGGCAGACTCACAAAAAAGTACATTTGGGATGATAAAAAAAAACATCCCACAGTCAGATAGAAATTCCTATTACAAAACTTGGTCTGTCATGAAGATTATGTAATGAAAATTGAGTACACATAACTAATGGCTAAAAGTTAGATCAGACAGAGGGGAAGGGCAGGGGCAGAGAAGGCATTCAAGTACACCTGGGAGCTGGGGCCTTGGTTTTTGTTCAGAGCCTCCAGGACACACATCTGAGTCCCCCAGTGGCCTCTTGAGCCCCAGGCTGCTCCTTACATTTACAGGTGCCGAATTTCACGTTAGATATACGTTAGGCAGAATGGAGGCTAAGGGGGGGAGGGCTGTATAGTACAGCACATACTGGGGTTGTTTTATAAAACGCCTCTCGGCCACACATCAATGTCTGAAAAGTGGCACATGCGAACACATTTGTTGGTCCAACAAGAACGATGTAGAATAAATGAATTCATGACGGCCTAAACCGGTAACAAACCGATCGGCTGACTTAAAACTACAAGTCCTTTTCCACCACCGCGTCGGGCCCGTATACCTCCCGTGCTCGGTGCTCCGGCTGGTCTCGGTGCTCCCGGGACGGAGGCTGTCTACGTGGGTCAGGCCGCCCGCTTCCCCCAGCCCCGAGGGGG